GGGCAGGATTACAAATGACCTAGGAGAAGCGGGACCGGCGGGACAACGCTGTAGGATGTCAGGAATTAGCCTTAGGAAGAGCAGTGACTGAGGAGGGAAGGAATGAGAGGCAGCCAGCCTGAGGTTGCTGTCATTTAGAAAAGCAAAATCAATACGCCAGATTAATACGAGAATGACTTCGGGAGCACAGATGCTAAAGATCGGAGGAAAACAAAAAGGCTAATCGGTTTTATCGATTGAAATCATTCATCCGGCAGTATAAATATGAGACGGTGTGGGACAAACAAGTGGAACGAATCTCTTTCTCATTAAAGAAATGAAAACCGAAAATCAAGCAGAAGAGAGTGTGCCTCATTTCGTATGACACCTGTGTGCGATTCCAGGACGTCCTAGAGCTGCGAATTCTGTTGCACTTGACATACGGAATTTCTCACAGCTATCTGAGGTTACACCTGGGCCTGAGCCAACCCAGGGTCTGACCTAAACTGTACAAATAACATAGTAATCATCGGAATCCAGTGAAGGACCAAGCCTCACAAATGAACAAGCCCAACCCCCAGCTGGGGGTTGATGATACCTTCACTTTCCTCCAACTCCATTCCATTTTGGTAAAACGGACAGACGTGTCCATTTAAAAATGTGTCCCTTGCTTAGATCACTTCTTGGTACAACTAAATGGTAGACCATTACTAGCAGAATAAATTTCAAAAATAATTTATCTTGAAGATGAAATGTGCCTTTACCTCATCACTCTCCAATTTTGTCCTCTTGGGAACTCTACCCCACTCCAAAAGGCCAAATTTGCTTTGGCTTTAGCAACCCCCTAACTATGCTTACCTCATTCCTTTCTCCGTGGTGTCCTCTTGCCCAGCTAACCCCAGAGACCAGTTGACATTTTTCTGACTACTGGAGTTCTTTTATCATCCTTGTCTTAGCTCAGATGCTTAAATTCCTCTGTGAACACCTCTTAGGTTTCCCTAGTTAGAATAAATTACTCCAGCACTCTATGATTTGTATCTATTTCCAGCCCTTAGATCGTTTGTTTTGTGCCTAATATTTCACCGGACTCCTGTGCTGTATTCAAAGTTCTTCATGTCATCAGCAGTCTCTCAATTCCTTCTGTGAGCACTGCATCTGTGCTTGAAATGAGTCGAACCTTTAAAAGCTGGGCTCCCATAGAACATTGTCTCTGCCACTGAGGTTCATCCGGAAACGAGGATTCTCCTCTGAACTCTAAGAACAGAACTTCCTGCAAAGGTCGGGATGGTCCCCTATGTGACCCACAGTGGCTTCCAGCCTCATTTATGGGAGAGAGTAAGAGATGGGGAAAAGAGGATCCCAAATGCAGAGATCCCTGTAATTGGCCGTGAAAGGGAGCTTTGGAAACTGCCTGGGAGTTAGCGTTGCCAAATGCGATGTAGTGCATAAAACTGCAGACCATTTCCTAGGGCAAAATGTGTGGATGGGGTTCTTTCGTTCTGCAGATCCAAAGTCCCCCCGTGATGCTAGGGCACAGTGACTCATGGAGAATCATCATTATGAGCTCTAAAATCTGCCAGGCAAACGTTCTAACGTTCTAACTTCCATCCGGTGCTTTTTCAGGTTTATCCACCTTAATGTGATCATTTTCATTTTACAGAAGAAAGCATTCAGGTACAGTGTGGTCTTTCGGTCCCCCCCCCCCCCCCCCCCCCCACGCATCTGCAGTGAAGCAGGATGCACCTAACTTCTCAGTATTTTCCGACAAACTTTCAGGCTAATTCGCTTTGAACAGGCATCATCCCCCATGTTGTGCATGCGTTGCAATAAATAAGAGCTACTGCGAAACAATTCAAATCATTGGCAGAAAGGGTGGTAGGTAAGTGCTACTATGAAAAATAAATAGAGTCTTATTTCCTGGGAACTAAAAATGGATAACTATCGCTGCTTCTTCCACATGTGGAGAAGGTACAAAGTTAGTTAATTATAAATAATGCATTCAACCATACAAGGGATGAGCTATATG